CCTATGCCCCCCCCCCCCAGGGCATCTCCAATAAGATGGCGATCTGCGACACCTGCAACCTCAAGCTGGCGGACTGCGCGGGCCACTTTGGCTACATCACCCTGGAGCTGCCCGTCTTCCACATCGGCTACTTCAAGAACACGCTCAACGTGAGTCAAAGACGCGCCTCTCGGGCCCGGCCGGCGCCCTAGACCCCCTTCCTGCCATGTTGGGGTCAAACCACCTTTGATTTCTTGCGTCAAGCTTCAAGATGATGCCCTGATGATGCCCCCAACCGCTCTTGATGGGGCGGCTTTAGGGCCAGCCAGCCGTCACTGAGTTGGTTGTTCGTGCCACGTGTAACCGGCGCATGCCTCAACCCCTGTGCCCTGTGCCTCTCGTTTGTGCGGCTCGGGCGGCCGCGCAGGTGCTGCAGTGCATCTGCAAGACGTGCTCGCGGCTGCTGCTGCCGGACTCCGAGAAGCGGAAGTGGAGCCGGTGGGCCGGGGGGGCGGGGCCGAGAGGGCGCGCCCTGGTCCAGGGTTCTGCGGAAGGAGTTTTGGGGAAATGAAGGGTCTGAAAGCGGAGGGTCAACACGGCAGCAACAGTCTGGTCCTGCACATCCCTGGAAGGTCACCTCATCAGAGTGCGAACCCGTCGTTGCCCCCCGTCCCTGCTCCCTGCCGCCCCCGGCGGAGCAGCAAGTTCCGCAACCCGCGGCTGGAGCGCGTGCCGCGGGAGCAGATGTTCCGCAAGGTCAACGACATCTGCAAGCGCCAGCGCATCTGCCCCCACTGCGGCGCATACAACGGCGTTGTCAAGTGGGTGCCCGCGGCCCCCGCCAGCCGCGCGCCTTGTGCCCTCGCGAGCCAGCCGCGTTGATTGGGGGGCTGCTGCAGGCCTGGAGGCGGACGCGCCGGTGCAAGCGCTTCGCAAGGAATCGGCAGTACGTCGACACGATCACGAGGGTGCCGCGCTTGCCCCTGCGCATGAGCCACGCGCAACCCGCCGGCCGCCCTCGCCCATCACGCCCCCCC